TTTAAATTTTGTGTCTCTTTTATCTTCAATTTTATTTTCTCAAATTATCAATTACGATTTTACTTTATCCGATAACCGTCTTCCGCAATAATTTTATGATTAGGGGTGTATTGGTTTATATTCGTAGGATAACGCTGAGAATCTGAATCATAGCTGTTATATCTGTGTTTAAGGGGTATGTTCTCTTATACGGATAGCAAACTCGATTTTCTTTATTTCCTTTTGAATCTGAAATGAAAGTACTTGTAATCTAATAGCAGTGATTCTGCAGACTCGAATGTCACAGCGGGATTCACGAGACAGGACAACATTGCAGCCTACACCAGCAACAGCGGCCTATTTAGATAACCCATCAACAAGCTTTGCTGCCAAATTTGTTCATACATCTCTAAACAAAAACCGGTGTTCTATAAATGGCGTTTTGGTGAGTTAGATTCGAATAATATATTTTTAATGTGTTTAACGTGATCACATACCCATCAAATTAAATTAACTTCTAAATGCTTTGGTTTTCTTGTTTACCCAACAGAGGCTGTCTCAATGAACAGTTGGATATTAGATAGATACAAACCAGCTGACTTATCTTAATTAATTTTATCTTTGGTTTACAAGTAGATACAATTAGGCAATCAACAGGGATTAACGTATAATTTTATGTCAGAAGTAGAGAATTTGAATTTATACAATTTTAGGGACGAACTTGAACTTATAAAATTCTACGGGCCGAAAACAAATTTTCAGTAGAATATACATAAACAAAATCTAAAATATACAGCAATTTTAAATTTTAGGTGGACAATTGTCCCCACCCGCCTAGGTCCATCCCCGGTAGTGAGACCAAATAGAGGCAAGTGCCTTTTTATTCTTGCATGTTTGCATGACTCATCTCTTGATGTTTTGATGCTATGTTGTTGGAAAAGCTTAATTGTTTTTTTTTTTCCTGCTTTTTCTGGAATACCAATTTAATTCCCCTACTTCCCAAAGTGAGAAAAATGCATTTTGTTTGAAGTTACTAAATTTAGAGCTGGTATACCGAGTTTTTTTTTTTTTATCTTTAGTAGACTCCTACAGGTAGACGTCTCATCACAGGTTCTCAGAGTTGAGAATTGACATTAAGGAATGGACAATCATTTTCAATTTGAAATGATTCTTCAGGTATACTTCTATTAACTGGCATGGTTATCTTATTTAGCTAGGATTATTCATTAGAGAATCCAAATTGATTCTTCAGGTATACTTAGGCCCATGATCGAGCCATCAGGACTATGGTATGGAGTCACAATGACAACTGGATGGTTTCTGGTGATGATGGGGTGCAGTGAAGTATGTATTATTCTGTCTTCTGTGTGAACCTTACTGCTTTCATGCTTGTGAAATTTTGTTTTGCTTAAGCATACGTTTTTTTTTTTTTTTTTGCTGATGTAAGTGTATTTGTGAATTTACCCTTTAGGCATTGGCAGAACAACATGAATAACGTTAAGGTCAATAAGTCTGCTCACAAAGAATCAGTACGTGACTTAAGTACCTTTTCTGACATTCCTTTTTCATATGAGAGTTTTATCTACTATAGAATTTAAGATATACTCTCTGAGTTTTTGTAGGACAGATGATGATACGACAGTAAAATTATGGGACTTTGCCAGGTGCCAGGAAGAGCGTTCGTAAAGTATTAAAATTATAAGAATTTGTATGTTCCCCTAGTAATCTTTTCTTGATTGTGTTTTTTACCTCATTAGTATCTTCCCTGTATAGATTTCTTGTATGCATGAATTAACCTAAGAGTTTAATACATGTTTTGAACTCAGGCAGGGAATGTTAAAAGTGTTGATTGGCATCCTACAAAAGTTTATGTATGCTATTTGCAGTTTCCTGGTCATCAATGTGACTGGTTAGTTTGTCTCTTGGAATTTATGTTTAGGGTGTAATAAGTTGGCGTGTGACAAATGCCAATTATGAGAGACATCAAAACATGTGAAAATTTTATTATACCCAAATAAGTCCAGTCTTTACTTTGTACCTTAATGAGCATTTTAACCTTTAATTTATAACCAAATAGGCCTCTAACCTTTCATTCATATCTCCATAAAAAAAATCAAATAATTATTTTGCTTGGAATAAGGGTTTATTTGAATGCAAATTGAAGGCTAAAAAGTTATTTGGGTACAATAAAAGCATAAAGGCTTACTTTGAAAAAGTTAAGGGGGATTTAGCCTCTTTGGCATTAATGATGGGTGATCTTTTACAACTTACGATTGCTAAAGATTATTCTGATGTACAGGCATGAAACAACACAGGCTGATCACCTTCCCAGTGCACATGATAATGGCGTTTGTGATATTGCCTGGCATCCTATTGGATATCTTCTTTGCAGGTAAACCCATTCTAGATTTATGATTGTCATGCCTGCTTCTTGTTGATTTCCTTGTAGTTTATGAATATCATATGAAAATCAAAATGGTTGTATGCATACCTATGCTTTTATTTGTTGATATGCGTACACAGTTTGACTGCAGACAGTGTTACTTTATTTGATGCTCGACTTTTTGAGATAGAAACTGAATTAAATTAGTTTGTGGACTTCTGTGAAATTGAAATTTTATCTGACCCTCATCTGACTCAATACTATTTGATCAGTGAACTTTGTAATTTGTAAATGGAGAGTGCATGATTTAGAACTTCAAAATTTCTAGAGCTGAAGGGTTTGCGGCCGGTGAGAAAATTTTAGAACTTTAAGGTTTATTTACCCATGGTTGATCAATCCCTGAAGGTGACAACTCTAGTTTGAATATATTCTAACAGAAGGGTCCGAGGCTTGTGGAGACTGGAGAGTAATTGGGATCTCTAGAATGCACTCTAAACTGCTTGGAGAATGGGCTAAAGCTCTATGATTATTGTGTTTTGTCATTCTTATTTATTACTTGTTGCACTAGAGGGGATGAGCAAATCTTTAGATTTGGACATATTTAACACATTTTATGGTAGGAACCCTATGCACTCAGGGTCCTTGCCTATTAGTGCTGACGGCCCTTCAGTCGGCGGTTTTCCCAGTGGTATGCAAAATATGGGCGGTGGCCAAATATATCCGCAGGGCTCAGCACGATATTTTCTCAAGGAAAAGCTGCAACTCATGTTAGATATTCCACCTCTATTACCACTAGAATTCTTATGTTTTACACTATTCTAGTATTTTTTTTTGGTGGTTCTTCAACTCTATTTTTCTTGGAAGTGTGACACTTTTGTCTAACGTGGGTGGAGAGGAATATGACCTTCCATAGATCTGAAAACTTATTAAAGAAAAATGAATATGCCCATGTCGGATATATATATATGTGTTCCTACATAACTATCTAAAATAATTCGTTATGCTTCTACTTATTGCAGTCCGGTACTCCATCTCAGCCACCGATAGGTACCCCGCCTCGTGGCCAAATGCCACAGTGAGACATACGATTGTAGAGTTCTTTCTTTTGGCTTTCTGAGGACTTGTTTTCGTGGGACTTCAATATTGCAGGTATCAGTTAGCAAATGGTTTTCGTTTAGGTAAAAAGACATCAGAGGTCATTGTACTTTTGAAAAAAACCAATGTAGCCATCGTATTATTTTTCTCTCTCAATGTGGCACTCCAACTCAGAAAATAAACCCGATATGACCCTTTAACCAATGTTTTTTTTTTGACCGCTATAGTAGGTGTGCCAGTTCACGGTGCTGACGTGGCGATCCACTGTGCTGATGTGGTAATACATTCGCCATATTTGAGTTATCAATTTAACACATATGTCATGTCATTCGTCACGTTAATCTGTCATCCAGAACTGTCATGTCAGCACAGTGAATTGTCACGTCAGTACTAATGGTCAACGACGAAAAAACGTTGGTCATAGGACCATATTAGGTTTATTTTTTGAGTTGAAGTGTCACATTAACAGAAAAAAATAATATGAAGTACATGTTGGTTTTTTTTTAAGTGTAAAACCTCTTTTTTGCCTTTAGTTTATTATTGTTGTACTTTAATGTATGGAAAATGGAATATTGGAAAGCTTAATCCTCATTTTGCCTGTACTTTCTTTAGATACTTTTAGCAGCCTGTGTGCACTTTTGCTATCTAAGTGACATCTTGACTTAGAAACCACAGAACAAAGCATAATCATTTAGTTGAATTCTATAAAAATTGTATGAAACATGTAAAACATTAGTAATCAATAACAAGAGAACCTCATCAACCATAAGAAAGCGATTGGGATTCTGGGTTTTGAAGATCATACTCGAATCTCTCTCCTTTTGTTCAAGTGAATCTAAAATATACAACACAAACTGTATAACATTAGTATAGTTTAATAACTATGCCATTGAAAACAATGTCTAACATGCCTCGAGCTCTCGATTTGTTCAATTTTATCTAAAATACCCATCACTAAAATTTTATAACTTAACAATAATTGATAATTAGGGTACTCTTAAATCTAATGTTAATTTATATTTTTTGAGTAAGCACATTTGATTGGTTAGTCAAATTGTTCATCTTTATTTGTCTAGACTTACTAACTAGGACCACTTCCCTTCCTTCCCCTAGAGTCTCCTTTCCCCCCTCTCTAGGTAGGATTAGGATTAGGATTACATTTAAAATAAGTTTATAACGAGATACTAAAATGAAATAAAAACTAAATGTAAAATATGATTTTGAAAAAATTGAAAATTTAGATACTAAAATGGATCAAAAATGATAATTTAGATATTAAAACGTAATTTACCCTAATTATTTTAATGCAACGATGACACAAAGCCACAAAACAGCACGGGATAAAATCCAGGTGGACAGTTTGTAAAGATGTATGGGGGGTCATGGTAGGATTTGTTAAGAGGCTTTACCTAGTAGATTACAGAAAATAAAGGGGGCAAAGAAGAAATACTTATGTAACATTGAAGTCCAATATATTCTCAAATTTGCATTCACCCACATAAGGCAATTGAGATAACTCAGAAGGGCAAAACCGAGCCCTTATAAAAGTTAAACGACTTGTTCTTTTAATCTCCAAAGCCAAAGCACCATCCTGAGAAATACAATCTCGACGCCTTGAGACAAACAATGAATTGGTTTAATAGGATTTTCCACAATGGATTAGGCTTCCCGCGCCTAAGAAAAGTCCGAATATAGCTGCGCTACCCAATGTGGTTTGCCCGATGTATCGAATCTTGAGCAGTCCTGGTACCTGCACAACCCGAAAATATGAATCTCAGATATGCACGAAGCCAGATATCTTATTAGCTATCCCCATCACCTTTAAAATAGGAAAAATAGCAAAGACACGGCATACTCTCTCTAGGGTTCATAGAAATATGGATCATATATCCGTGGAACACTAGTAATTCCGGTGGAAACAGATCCACAAAAATGCAAACCTAAACACACAATTGACACTGTTTCATCTCTAGAAATAAAAAGTAAAATATAGGACATTACCTTGTACCTAATAGCCTCGTAAGTCCCATATACAGCACCTGCATGAGCAAAATCACATTAATGCGCCTCATTAACAATCCTAAAATAAAAGATAAAAAAACCAAGTAATGCAATTTTATAAGAGAGCAATAAATAATTGAGATTCGTGAAAAAATAAGAATCTAGGAAATGAGTTCTTTCGGTAAAGATAGAAAGTTGCTACATTAAAAAGATACCAACAGAAGACTCTTTCCTCGCAATCAGCCTCTGCAGAATCATCTAATCCCCTTCCTAATCATCCATCTTCATTCTTCTAATCTCTAGGGACACTTAGAGCACATCTATGACACTCAGATTTGAGTGTGACTGACAGGTACAAAAAATGTGTCCGACAAGGGTAAGCTGAAAACTTTCAAGTTTCTTTTATGAATTTGGAGGATCAAATCTCTATCCATACCAATTGTCCGGATATGCATCAAACACGGGCGTTGAACACAGGTACTTCAAGAAAATCGAAGAGTCAAAGCAACATAAGATCAAATTATTCTAGATACCGACTGTTCTTTTACCAAATATATTACATAAGTAGTTGTCTTGCATGTTTCTCGTTAGTTGAAAATTGTGTGTATGCATTGAACTCCGATATCACGTCCCTAATGCCCAGAACTTTAACTTCCAACTAAAGGTCTCGGGTTTGAAAGTGCTGGGAAGGATAGTTCGAGATCTACAGAAAGGGAGAGGGCTAGCTCTATATTGTTAGCTGTAAAAGAATTGCAATGCGTTTTACATATGCCGAAAGATAAATAACAACGACGCTGTTCTAAATTCCAAAACGATAAATTTGCAATGTTTTTCTCTTAAATTGTTTCTTTTCAACTTAACTGGATTATATTGTCCAAGTATACCAACTGAAACATACTATCAAACAAGATAATTGTTTGACAGTCTAAATGCATATTTAATCAGACAATTGACAATTCACAACAAGCATAAACAACAGTCTCATTAAATTCATTGAGACCATGAAACAAATCAAAGAATCAACAATGGATCAAAAAAACTCAAAAAAAGTACTTAGCAAACAGAAAATCATTAGTTCAACCTTTTTATTTTTTGTATTTGGTCGCCGATAAAAAAAAAGTTAATAAAAGAAGCAATTTTGCCCATTTGTGCCAAATTACAACTATAAATATCATCACTTTACTTATTTATTTGCCTCTTTTACTAGGAAATACATAAATAAATAGCATGTGTAAAACTTTAAAAAAAATTAAAACAATTGTGGAGTTTATAATATTCTTTGCAAATGATCAAGACTGTAAGCTAAAATCAGTAAAGAAAGAAACCGTAATCCAATGGAAAAACTACTATTAAAATACTCATTATATGTTCAAAAACCCTAATGTCTAGAATTCAAACATAATGTTCCAGAATCCTAAGTTGAGAATTGCAATTTTTATTTTGGCTTTCTCATTTCAAAACGATAACAATCGCTAAGTTTATTAAAATTGTAAAAAGAATTTACCGATTTCAATATTTTCAGTATCTAACTAAAACAGAGTAATGTGGCTTAGGATTTTAGTGAGGAGGGGAAGAAATGGAAACTTACCAACAGCGCCGCCCAAAGCGCCTCCAACGGATACTCCAGCGGTGACGCGAGCCAAGTAGCTGTCTCTTGCCATGTTCCGTTCACTATATCGTCTTCTTGCCTTGTTTTTCGTTTGTTTTGATTTCTTAGGTCTTTGCGAGTTTGGTGAGTTAGAACTAGGGTTCTCGAATGCTTTCGCCCTCGTTTTTGTATAATAATAAGGATAAACTACCATGTGGATCACTAAACTATTGACTTAGTTCTATTCTGACCGCCTAAGTATAAATTTTATTAATTAGATCCTTAAACTGTTAAAATGATTTCAATCAAATCATCATTAACTGATAATGAAATTATTTACATAGGCATAGCATTTAAATAACGTATATAATAATATATTTGATATTTAATACTTTTACATTATGAATAGTGAATATAAATACAAATTTTTACCTATTAAAATTATACAACATAATCTCGATATAATATTTTACTAAACACGAATCAAATGTTAAGCTTAATTAAACGATTAAGTACACTCAAATATTTCATTAAAACTTTAAGATGAAGCAATAACAAAAAAAATGTACAATTTAAGAACAACAACAACAACAAAACCCTATTCCCATATGCAATAGGGTAAGGGGGAGGTCGGGAAGTAAACTGCCCCCAACGCCAGGTTGAGAGCAACTTTCGTGGAAGACCTCCGGCAATCAGAAAATTAAAAATAAAGATAAAATGCAATGCATGTATAAATAAATAAATAAATACATAGTTGAACAGTTTTCATATGCAGTCTTCATATGTGCATCTGTAATGGGAAGTAATCACTGCGTAAAAATATCTGTATATAGACAGAAACGTAAGACCCGAATAAATTTAAAAAGAGGAAACATGAAGAGCAAGATACGCAGAAGTCAACGATAGCAAGCTACGAGAAGGAATAAAGTCAAATGGGTTAAAACCTAAACTAAGGCAACACTACTCCACTACCCTAGTTCTAAGCCTTCATAAATTCCAATGACAAAAACGTATAAAAAGTAGAAGTCATGGAAATTTCTACAAAGGCATTAAAAGAAAACAAAGATGATACACCCTATGAATGTGACCCGCACTACTCGGCTACCCTGGTCTTAAGTCTCCATACTTTCCTATCAGAGGTCATGTCCTAGGTAAGGGTTAAATCCTTCAAATTAGATCTCAAGCAGTCTTCCCACTTTTGCCTTGGTCATCATCTCCTTCTAACACCGTCGACTGTAATCGACTCTACCCCCTGACCGCATCCGACGGTTTTCGCCTAAGGACATGCCCAAAGCACCGTAGTCTTCCCTCCCTCAATTTTTCAGATACAGACACCACCCCCAAGGACATTCTAATAGCAGAGTTTGGTTTCATGTCCCACAGAGTCCTACCACATGACCATCGAAGCATTTTCATTTCTGCGGCCTCTATCCTCCTTACGTGATCCTTCTTGATTGTCCAACATTCTGATTCATACAGCAGCATTGGTCTTATTGTCATTCTATAAAATTTTTCCTTAAGTTTTAGAGGCACCTTCTTATCACAAAATAAGCTTTGATTTTGAATGCTCAACCTCAAGACAGGAAATTGAAGAAGATAAGTGTTTAGAATTGTGGAAAGTTTGGTGCAAATAAGATAATATGTCTTTAAGAATCCATGGTGAACTTGGGATGAAGTTGAATGTTTTCGGTATTGGTAAGTGTAATTAGATTGGGATTTTTTCTCTTGTCTGAGTTAATTACAAGCGCATATTTGTTCGAAAAATTCTCAATCATATGACAATGAACACTCAAACATTTTATGCAAACGTTGTGTTCGAACCCGAGACCTCTAGAGATAACAATCATCCCTTTAACCACTGAGATCACTTTGCTCGTACAATTAGATTATATTCTTTTATATATATATATTGTCATGCTTTTGAAATGTGTAGGTGAATAAATAATTTTGATTTTTGTATGTTTTGAGTGATAAATGTGTATACAAGTATTTAAATTATCATCGGAAAGCTTGGGGTGTGTATATCTAATCTTTGAATATATTTGAAGCTATGGATGACTAGGTAGTAGTTTGGATTGTTATATATGAATTTATTATGATATAAGATAATGCGATAATATGTCAATTACTATAATTTGCAAGAACCAAGCTACCTAGTCGAGAGTGTTTAGACAATGAATATGCTCATTTCCATACTCTTAAACAAAATTGTGCTTAAAATGCTATGAACTCTATTGAATCATGTATGTTGCATTATAGGCTACTTAGCATTTATAATTTTGATTGTTTCATTGAACTTGTAGAAGCCCACTGCGTAGTTTTTGTTGATATTGTAGGTCATAGATAAACTCTTATTAGATTGAGATCACATCATAGATAAATATCGTGGTGTATCGATTTTTAAATGTTTGTCTAGAAATTATCTTTTGCTATTTATACTTAATCGGTCTAGTGTGTATAAGTTGCCCAAATTTTAGCCTATGCTTATGAGTTTGTGTGCGTGTGATATGCATAAATGAATGCAATAGAGTTATGTGTTTACCAAAATAAAAAATAATTTAGTGACCAAAACGAAACCAAATTAATAGTAGGACCACTAAATATGTAATGTACCAAAATAAGCCCTTAAATATTCACAATTTTTATCATTTACGTCCTTTTCAATTCCCATACCATCCCCTTTATACTTTTCCCGTTTGCCAACGCCGCCGCTCAGCTCTAAATCCTCAAAACTCTCAGCCGCCGACGCTGTTCCTCAGCTGCGCCACCAATATCAACTCCATTTACTGAGTAAGTTTCTTGTTGTCCCTATTTCATTGTTCGTATTTTGTCCTCCAATGCATAAAATTTTCGTTTATTGAAAGAATTATTTGAAAGGGAGAAAAACAGGAAAATGATGACGGGAGAGGAGGGGCAGCCATTACCATATGTATCGGAGATAATTTTGAAGAAAAGGAAAATAAGAGACGAGTTAGCGATTACGAGGAGGACCCAGTTGGAGTTGGGTAAATATGGAGCGAAGAAAAGCAAGAAGCAATCCGATGTTTCCGATATCAAAAGACCCGAACAGTTCATAAAAGAGTTCAGAGACAAGGTAATTGTTGCTATATTTTGACGTCTCTTTAGCTTATAGATCATGTTTCTTGCAACGGGTTGATTCAATGTATTATTGTTTTGAAAGCTTTACTGCTTTCTTCCTTCTGTTCAAGGTTGTGGTGTCTATTATAGTATTGTATTGTAACTGCTTATGAGTGTAAGTACTTGTTGAATATACTCAAACACCACTTGTCCAAATTCTAGGTGGAGCTCGAGCTATATCTCAAGTAGCTAGAGAATGAGTTGTCATATTTGATTATCTTTAATACTTGAATCCTAACTAAGATTTTGGATTTTTCTAAGAAATATGCATGTGTAAATATGATTCGGTATATATTTACATGTTTTTGAACTTTCTTTTGTGCTTCAACTTGAGCTTGAGTTAAGTTGCAAGTTCGGTATTCGGGTTGTAGTAACACTAATCAAGTCTTGTGTGACTTGATTGGTTTTCTCAAGTTGAGCTAGACCAAGGTCCTGAGAGGTAGAGTAATGAATTTAGTCATTTTGTTTATCTTTAATACTTGCATCGAGCAACCCATGAGCCTAACATTGATTTTGGATTTTACTTTTTATGTAATATGGATGTATACGTATCATTTGGTTCATCTTTACTTGTTTTCAAACCCGATCTTGAGTCATGTTTCAACTCCTGTGTTAGCTTAACTATTTTTAAAGCTGATCTCAAGGTCAAAATGTAAAAGCTCATCTGAGCTTCGGCTATGCATTGTATCGCTCAGGGCCATATGCACCTTGTAGTTGTACTTCCTATTGTTTCTCTGACACTTCATTTTGCTTGAAGTATCTGTGTTCGACACATTTCTGACTCTTCAACTTTGTAACATAGCTAATTGAGGTCATCTTAATGTACTTTTGGGTTTTAGGAGTTGGACCTGATCAGAATGAAACAGAGGGCAAAGAGATCAACATCTATGATACCAAAACTGAGATCGAACTTGCTTTTCATTATCCGTATACAAGGGTTGGCGATCTTTTGCATCTTGGTCTTGTTCAATATTCTTGCTTCCAAAATTTTCAAGCTCTGATCTTTGTTTTGTTTCCTTTGGTGCAGCAAAAATGATATGCATCCAAAAACTAGGAAGATCTTGTACAAGCTGAGATTGAGGAAAGTTTTCAGTGGTGTCTTTGTGAAGGCAACCGAGGGTGTGATGGATATGCTGCAAAAGGTGGAGCCATATGTTACATATGGGTACGAACACAACTATTTTCCTTTCAAGTTCCTTTTTCTGGTAAATGTAAAACAGTGAATCTAATTATGTGAAAACTTGTACAAATGTTAATGTGCTGCTCCGTGTGTGGTAATGATTTTCTTCCTCTAGCATATGTTCATCATCATTTCATCAGTACCTACTTCAATTACCTACATCCTCTTATAGGGCATATGTAATTGTTCTTTTGCTTCACAAATTTGTCAAATTACCCTCCGAATTTCCATAGTTCATGCAAATGATCCTCAAGTTATTTGGCATTTTTGAAACTATTGACTTTCATGTATCAATCTGGCTTTCCTTTTGGCTTATGGGTGAATCTTCATTAACTATCATCTTAAGCTACTTAACAAGGATTCTGTTAGTTTTCCACTGTCTCGCAGTTCCGAAATACTCTAGAAAACTTGGTTCTTTTATTTTATAGTTTTCATTTAGATGATCTTGAATTTATATTTTGCCATCATCGTTTTACGCAGATATCCAAATCTTAAGAACATAAAGGAGCTGATTTACAAGAAGGGCTATGCAAGGATCGACAAGAAACCAGTTCCTCTAACAGATAATAATATCATCGAACAGGTATCATAGTTTTCTTAACCAAGTCTCAGAATAAGTTCCTGGTTTAACTTTTTCCGAAATTCTAAGGTTCATAACGCCTGCAACTAAACTCTTTTTACAGACATTGGGGAAGTATGGAATCATATGCATAGAAGATATCATACACGAAATCGTGAATGTCGGTCCACGTTTCAAGGAGGTTATTCGTTTTATGGGACCACTTATGTTGAGTAAGCCAGAAGATGGATTAATCAAGGGGAAGAAACAGCCGTACAAAGAAGGCGGAGATGCTGGTAATCGGGAAGATGAAATCAATGACCTAATTAGTAAGATGAATTAGCTTTAATATTTTAGTTAATATAAGTTTTGATGTGTGGATGTGGTCCAGGTTTGAATTGACTTTTGTTAACAGTTTAATCAATGCCTAGTTTACCAGTTCTTGTTTGTTGAGAAAAATACCCTCTTGAATCTTCATGTTTGCTTTATTTAGTATTTATAAAAAGTTCATATATTTTTGTTTCTTTTTAATTAAGATGTGGTTATTATGACTTTAGCTTCCGTTAGTTTGATAATGTGACCCGTTAGCAAAAGGGTTTAATTTTTATTTGAACCCTTAAAGTTTAGATAAATTATTAATCATGAATCCTTTTATAAGACCAAAATAATTAGTTATAAAATATCAATTTATCATATTTTCCGATATATTTTCTTCCCCAAAACTATCTTTTAAGCCGCTTCCACTGCTTCATCTTCCCCAAACGAAAGTGATAAAATATCCCGACTCACCCGACATTGTGAAACAACTGCTGCAGCCACCTCCTAGTGGTTTGATCTTCACGAAGGCAACTACTAAAGGTGGCATCTAGTTACATATCTGGTAGGCAACTTCTTAACGCATCGCAAGCCCTCGGGTTATCCGACAATCGAAGATAATATCGAATAATATGTTTCAACAGTCGTGAAGAGGGCTGCTCAGCAAGTGCTGCAACCATATTTCCTAGAACTCGACCAACTGCAAAAAACCGCTCTACAGTAGTGCAAATATAATCCAAGCCAACATCATCCAGTAAAATCTTCTGAACTATAAAAATGACAACTGTTTAGTTCACTACCCATCTTCATTGTGCGCAGGCAGATTATCTCAGTTGAAAGAAGGAAGCTGATAATTTCTGTATCATCAACCTTCACCTGGGCACCAATGACACCTAAGCTAGTGCGCCTCAAATACTAAAAAGGCCTTTATTTACTTGTTGTATTAAGGAAAGGTTACATCTACAAGGGTATATGAGCATTTAGGAATAACATCCTTGTATCCGGATGAGAAGCCACACTCTAAAGCAGGGCAAGAGCATTACAAACTCGATTCGACTGAGCTGGGGTTAGATTGTATGTGTCATTCTTCCCGAATCCTTGGGTTTAATCCCCTCATCATCATTTTTACCGATTATTTTTTTCTTTCAAATCATATGGTAACATGTCACTAGTGACATATAATATTATCTAACTGAATGATTAAATTAATTACATTAAATTAAGATTGTTATTAAATTGATAAAATATATAAATAATAAAATTTATATTAATTTTATTAACTATCATTTAAGTTTCTCAACGAAATGTCAATAATAGGTGACTCGATTGATATAAATAAATAATTAAATTAATTAACTAATAAAATTAAAAGATGGATAAATAAATCAAAATCTTCCCTAACTAATTGTTCATCTATATAGTTTACCCTGTTATGCTTATATTGATATGATTTTCATTAAAAAAAAACATGGACCTTGTAGGTGAGTTAATAAAGGGTTGTACATGGATGGAAAATGTGAGTTTGGAAAGCGAATAAGATCAGGGGAGATTTTCATACAGAATCCGGAGGACCTTGTAGGTTGATTTTTGAACTCGACAAGAAGCAAACATGGTGCTTAAGGCACACCCAAATTAACTAAACAATGATTAAAAGATTATTATTATTTTTATACGAACGTTTAACGTTAAATAATCTAAAATTATTAAACAAATATTATCTTGTGTTCATCCAAATTAATAAAAAATATTTGTACTTTTATTTACAAAAGGGTGTAATTAATATTTATTATCATTATATTTAATTTACAAATCAATTTATATATTTAATTATTTAAAAAAAATACTATTTTACATCAATTTCGATATCTTTTATATTAATTTGTATCTTTAAAATTTTGAAATTAATTTAAAATATAATTTAAGGGGCCGGGGGTCTAGTGTAATTAACCATATGTGTGCATAACATTATCCCTTATTTAAGCCAATTTATTGATCCCTTGTTTAACCTTTTTGAAAGGTTAATTCAATTTATGAACAATCTCTAAATGATTCATTCCTATATTACTTTTTTTCCTCCTTATTTTTAATACTTCTTTTTTACTAATTCGGATCGATCAAAGGCGTACATTTAATTTTGATGAGTGAGTCTCTAAGTGGGAATTTTTTACATACATAAAAACTACAATTTGAGACTTACTTAAGCGATATCAAACTGTTTACCATTTGATCTAATCCCATTGATATTCATTATCACGATAACATATTTTAACCTAAAGTTATGAAAGAGAAGGAGATAATATTTGATTCATTTATATATTTATAAGTACATCAATAATAAATACACTTCAAAGGTATATATATATATATATATTGTTGGGACTGTCGGCGCACTCCATGGCGCAACGGAAACAAAACTTGACGGTCTCAACAGCGATCCAAGTATGGAAAAACTGAATTCGAGAGGAAAGGATGCGAACACTTACAATGGGTTCCTTGAAAAACAGCAAAGGCAGCAGCGACTAATGGTGATCATGAATGGTTCGAATCGTAAACCTCCACGAAAACACGTCTCGGCCTCTACTTAGTTCACCCGATTGAGAGCAAAATTTTCTTTTCCCAAAAACAGTTATGAGAAAAACGACTGAAGAAAAAGTGGCTGCTAGACCTTACCTCACTTTAAATATATCAGTTACCCTAACCTCTTAGGGATTTTAACTTATTTCGAATTAATAAAAAATCTTATTTAATTAATTCAAATTAAATATCCATTAAAGACTTATAATCTGAATTACAATCTTTAACATTTATTTAAACTCTTATTTAATTATTCCGAATTAAATATCGATTAAAAGAGTTGTAATCAAAATTACATTCTTTTAATGTTTACTTATTATATTCGGGATAATTAAAATCATATGTATATCAAATATACATATATTAACTCCATATATATTTTAGTAACATACAACAAATTGTACATCTTTGCTCATTTCAATCCTAGGGTATGACCCTATAGGTTCTTGTAACGTTAGTAGTAATTATTAGAACAATTCTAATATTACATACAATGAGTGACATCTAGCAATATATCATTGTCACCTAAGTTACAAGAAATTATGATTCGACATATCATCTTCGTGATTAACTCTTTTACAACATGAGACTTGCCTTTCACAATAGCATTATTTTACTAACTACATGTAAAGATTCCAAACATAAGATTTTCAAATATTTATTAAAAGGAAACTAGATATCAACAATGTACATACATTTTGACTTTTATTTTTTAACATTTTGGGAAAAATTCAAATATTAACAAAATGATTATATTTTTCATATGAATGAAAAGGGTGAATACTAATGGTTTTGTAGTTATGTTGAAGGTATATATTTATTTAGGATGAGTATGTCACACTTGATGAGCATTGTTGAGTACCATTAACGACGACGAGCACTGTTAAACACCACTAACGGTGTGTACCATTGAGTATCATTCCTAACACTCGTACATTGACTCATCGTCAACTTGATGAAAAGAATCAACGTCATTCCTTAGTTGGGTGTTCATGTTGGGTGCATTATACCGCCACAAAAAAACTCTTGCATAAGTCTAACCAAGATTCCATCTAGCCGGATGGAACTCCACTTAACCAAGCCCTTGCTCGATCTCTCAAAGAATAAGGGAATAACTTGAGTTTCAACACACCTTTATGCACACCTTGCTACCAAAATGAGTCATAAACCTCTAAGAATGCATGAATGTGTGCCTTGCATCTTCGTGAGACACACCACCAAATTGTCCAATCAATTCCAACATGTTGAACACCACCGGTTTAAGCTCAAAGTGGGCTACCTGAATCTCGGGAGCTACAATACCAAGTTTGAGATCATTCAATATGGGAGCTAAGTGATCTCTAATGGCACGTGGACAAGCTACAATTCCTTCATTGTGAATTGATGCAACATTATGATCTTCAAGATCCTCAACTTGTTGACCTTCTCGGTTTTGAACTCCGTACATGGCTCTTTGAGCTCTCTAAAAACATATTCTTTGATGAAAAATTTGTTTGATCTTAAGGTACCAAATGTGTTATGGCTTCTTAGATCCTCTATGGTTCATGCAACAACACAACACCTGAAAAAGGAAAACAAAAATAACAAGTAAATATATACAAAAAGAATAAATAAAATAATGCAAAAACTAAACTTAAAATTACGAATTGCCAATCCCCTAAAATGGTGCCAAAAACTTGTTATGTGTGTGAATGTACTATATTTGATACGCAATATGTGTAAGTATAGACATCAAAAGTAATATAGTAGTGTGAGTATCGTCTCCACAAGGATTTAAGAGACTTCGAGTAAAGTTTATGCACTTAGACTATAAACATGGAAGTGTAAAATGGTATAAACAAGTGAATATGAATGTTGTGGCAAAGTATTGAAGTGTGTGAAATGTTGTGGCAAAAAGTTAAAGTAAAGGAAATGATATGGCAAAATTATGTTGAGTATTGGGATATAAGAAAAGATAACCTTACAACCTCTCCCAAACAAGCTATAAGAAAGATGAATGGTTGGGTTTACTAAGGAATCCTATATCTTGTCTTATAGAATGGTTTACATCTTCAATGAGTATACTGCTTGACACAGTTTGCTAAAGTGTTTCTAGGTTATCTCTAATAAGAAAACCGATAGTTAAAATGCTACAACAATACCTCTCAGAATAAATAGTAGCAAGATTCTATCGAATAAGTCTTACTCCTTTTAGTTATTGAAACACTTTTCTTATCTATAAGGTGAATTAGGGTTTTACTTCCTAGCTCAACCTTATTGTTCATGTCGATATAAACTTAACTTACTCGATATTAAACACCAAACATATATAACGACTATCTCTCAAAAGTTATTATAAATCTAGGCATTTAAACAATGAACAAAGCAAACATTTAAACATGGAAAATATTAACCCATTCATTCAAACTAAAACATATTCATCCATAGCAAACCCATGCGAAATAAGTTAGTTCATGACAGGGCTAGAGTCAAACATCTTCAACATTTGTTTCATTACAAACCCACAAAAAAATAAGAATAAAAAGCAACTAAAAGAGAAAGGAAACTCCCAAGTATAAGCTATCGTGA